TAATGCCTGAGCTCTAACACCAGAGGATGGGCTCATTGCTTTCAGAGCAGGTGTTGTGTTTAACTTGACATGAGGGAAAAGAGAAGCTAAACCAGCTTTCAGGTCAGGCACGCTCTGGCCATGGAGTTAACCAGGGCAGTTAGCCTAGATGGAGTCATGCCCTTACTGCTTTTACTTCCTGTGTGGGCTCAGAAAAAATGACCTGTGATTCTAGAGCTACTCCAGCGCAAGGAAACTGTCTTGATCGCTGTTGTTCTCAAAGATTTTTTCCTTCCATGGAGAGGCTTTCCTTTGTGAGCCTCCCAGGTTGAAATTGTCATGCATGCACCCCCTCACCGAACAGCAGCTGGCACTCTAGGAAAAAATGCTATTCTTAAAATTGCAGGGAAATTAGGAATGCCAGAGAAAGTGTGTAGATGGGTTGTCTGTTCTGTGCAAGAAAAATAATTTCTTCTTGCACAAGCTCTGCAAGCTCTGCAGGGCCAGGCCGTGGGGCTTTTTGTGCCGCTAGACCTGAAGAAATGCAGAACGGTGTCTCTGACCAAAAGATGCTGGACTGCACGTTTGTCTCTGGAAACTTTGACAGCTGTAAGGTAGGGGGAAGGAGTAGAACACTGAAGCTTTGTTCAGGGGGAAGTGTGACTGTGGCTGCAGAATGCAGCAGATCCTTCAGGGCTGAATTACAAGCTCTGGTATGACTGCAGGGGTACCCAGTGTATTTGAAGCAGCCCAAAGCCACAGTTTACAAGGGAATTCTGATAAGCAGGGGATAAGGAATAGAGAAGGCAGGCTGGAACACTAGAGAGAGTGTCCCAAAAGCAGAAGAAAAGGGAGGGGAGACACTAAGGTTTGTCTCTTTCTCTTAAGGTAGGGCTGTGGGTCATGGGGTGGGTAGAAGGCAGAAAGGTACAAGCGGTGAATCAGATTCTACCGTCCTTTTCACAGACATTTCCCAAATGTACATTCCCTAGTGCTTTGTCATGTCTGAACTTCAAATGCAGTAATGGATGGGAAATTCCACTATATCCTTTGGGAAACTGTCCAACAATCCTGAGCTGAGTTTTTTTTTTTTTTTTTTAAACTAAAAGGGAAGTCTAAATGATGATGCAGTTTCTCTTTGTAGTCTGTAGATATGTCTACACACACCAGAGGTGCTCCTCACAGCCCATGTGGTTTACAGCCTTCAAACATCATGTCATGTCCTAGTTATCTGTTAATCAAATTCTTGCATTCCT